GCTATCACACGTAATGCCTTCACTCCACAATCTGGTCTCCTTCTGGGAACTTCTTATTCTGGTTTCATACTGCACTTGGACTTTCTACAAGGCTTCGCATCCACTTCCGAAATATACTGCACCTGTAGTTTTGCGTTCGATCAAAAATCAATGTCAAGCCTATCAAGACTACGCATCCGCCTTTGAGAGCCTAAATGTTAAACGTCTTAGAAATGAGTTTAACAAATGCAGCGAAACTTTTAGAAAGGTAATGGGCTATCATGTATATTTATTATAGTCAAAAATCTATTTACATAATTAAATTTTTATAAACAGGACGGAAACTTTGGTCTAGTAAAACAAACGCTTGATGCGATTTATCGACGTAAAATTCAGCAGTTGACTCAAACTTATTTGACTTTGTCATTGGTCGATATCGCTGACACTATTGGCCTAGAAGGTCGGGAAGCACCTAAGGTCGCGGAACGTTACATTCTCCAAATGGTATTCGTACTTAATTCATATGTATGTTTACATCCACGTGAGTTGTTAACCAAATGTGTTATGAACTTGATTCGTTAGATCGAATCTCGTGAAATATTTGCTACTATTAGTCATTCTGATCAAGGTGGAATGGTATCTTTCCACGACGATCCTGATATGTATAATACGTCAAATACTATCGTCAAGCTTGAGGAACAGATATCCAAAGCTACCAAAGTCAGCGACCGTGTTATCCAAACTGACCGGCTTATTGGTTGTAGTAGAGAATATCTTGTTAAAGTAAGACCTTTTTCTTTTAGTTCACAGTATTTCTTATCTTATACATCTCTTTACATTAACTTATTTTCTTCGTTATATAGAGTAAAAATATTGCATCTGGAGGCGTAATGCCTGGTGGTAGTCATATGGATGATCAAGAATTTTTTGCAGGAGGCGGCGGATTTGACAATTTCGATGCTGATGACGGAGGAAGGTTTTATTAATTGCGTGATGAACTGTATCGTATATAATGATTAACTAGCTTCGCATGTGCCACTACGTGTAACATTTAATATAAATAATTAAATAATAAAATGTATCAGAAATCATGCAACAAATAGTCATAAAAACTAAAAACTTTATTATTCAAATTTGAAGATGCGCTAAAGCTCTGTAGATTATGAATTAATAAATAAAAATCAAGTAGCCACTATAAAATACTACAAGTCTTTAATGCATCTCCAATTTGCCTATATTGAATTAGCACTGTAGAGCAGGAGGACTTTCGCATATGAAAGGCACGGGATTTTTATGCGGCAGTCAACCAATCAGAAACCATATTATTATCACATGATATAAACAGATAGATAATCATCAAACTACGCAGCCAATCAACAATAAAAGTTTTTAATAAAAAATTATTTTTTTTAATTTTTATTTTTTTAATTTTTTTTTTTTTAGACGATCTTGCCTTTATTATTTCTTAGAAGTACCAAAAAATCATATTTCTTGGCTGGTGATTCTGATATAATTTTTGTGTATTATATTCTATTTCAATAAAGACTCACTTGACCAAAAGGCCCAGGTGTGATTTGTCAAAGTAGTCATTTTGCTTTATATTAAATCCTTAATTTACTGAGAATTTGATTTCTCTGATCTTTAGCTAGGGACTAGCATCCTACATTAAGCAGCAAAAAACAAAAAGAAATATTAAAAAAAACAAAACAAAGATATAGAGGTCTACAGTAAAAAAGATACAAACAAAAAATAAAAAGAGATAAGGAAGTAGTAAGAACAAAACAAAAGAGAAAATTGTATAATCTAATATTACAGTTATAAGCCTGTAAAAAGCTTTATTCTACTAAATAAACTAGTCTCTACTCTAAATTTATTTACTTAATATATCAAAGTAAAAAAATTATATAGAAAAACTTTATCAGTCAGATGAATTTAGTATAAAACTTAGTAATAAGTAGACTGCTTAAATAGACAATCAAAATTGTATGCGTAGTTAGTATACAGTATATGGGGTGTTATCTATTAAAACAGCCCTTTTTTACATAAATTTTATTTTGAGATAATTGAGTTTAATCA